TGGTTCATTAAAAGGTTATTCCAATGTCCATAACCACTTCTGCTTTTTAAAGTGGTTGTGGAGAAAGGAATCTGTATGTTCAGTGTTTCTGTTTAAAACACTGCAAATCCAGGGATATTTTTACCTTTGTGCCAGAGTCTAGTTACACCACTGGTACATGCAATTTTGACAGCCTAGAAATCTGTATGGACTGATAAAACAAAATCAAAAAAAGCACATGATCCATTCACTGCAATTTAATTAATAGTAATAGTAATAGTAAACAGTACATTATAATCATTTTTATTAGGTACATCATCAATAAAACAAGGGGGGTTGTTTTAAAATGCAGACATATGTTATTCTGGGTGCTAAATAGTAAACTTTCTATTGGTTTTCATGGTAATTGTTCCTAATTAACACTGTGCCCAGAAGAGCAATTGTTTTGCTCTAATAAATCTACCTCATAGCATGGATACTATATGAAATAAAACTTGCAGAAGACTTTGTGCAAAATCTGTTGTAGTCACAACAAATATACACCCCTGGGTGTTTGGGATTAAGACCCCTTGCATGGGGCATATGCATATAAGCCGCGTGTGGCTCAAAAAAGGGTTGTTGTACTCCCAGAACTGTGTCTCATCCAGTTACAGGGGGAATGGCTGTCTGCCTATTCTAAGGGTTCCTGAGGGGCTGGAGAGAGGTAATAGCGGAGGTAACCAGTCGGGTTCCCCGTGGTCCACTACAACTGGTATTTTATCTGTTTTTTACATCTACATCACTAGACTAAATTCATTTAAAAATTATTTTGGTCCAATAAAAAAGTATTCAAGATAAGAATTGTATCTGTTTTATATATATATACACAGTTGTGCTCAAAAGTTTGCATGCCCATGGATAATTGGTAATATATGGACCACCATTTTTAAATTTTGAGCATTTTTAAATTTTGAGCAGGCAAAACACATTTCTTTTATTTCTTATGGGATTCATATTCAATTGTACATTATAACAAAATGGCACAATCATAAAACAAAACATGGCAGCAAAGAAAAAAATGAAATGACCCCTGTTCAAAAGTCTGCATACCCTAAGTTCTTAATATTGTGCATTGCCCCCTATGGCATCAATGACAGCGTGCAGTCTTTTGTATTAGTTGTCTATCAGGCCCCTAATTCTTGCAGGTGTTATAGTTGCCCTTGCAAAGTCTTTGGTCGTCTTACATAACTCGCATGTTTGAGATCTCCTCAGACTGGCTTGATGATATTAAGGTCAGGAGACTGTGATGGCCACTCCAGAACCTTCACCTTTTTCTGCTGTAAGCACTGGAGGGTCAATTTGGCCTTGTCTTTAGGGTCATTGTCATGCTGGAAAGTGCAAGAGCGTACCATGCGCAACCTTCATGCTAATTGTCTGCCAGTATTTTCTAATAACATGATGCATTCATCTTGTCATCAATATTCCCAAGATTCCCCGTGCCTTTAGAGCTCACACACCCCCAAAACATCAGTGAGCCACCATCATGCTTCACAGTGGGGATGGTATTCTTTTTACTATAGGCCTTGTTGACCCCTCTCCAACACAGCACTTATGGTTGTGACCATAAAACTCTATTTTGGTCTTGTCGCTCCAAATTACAGTATGCCAGAAGCTGTGAGGCATGTCAAGGTGTTGGGCATATTGTAACCGGGCATTTTTGTGGCATTGGTGCAGTAATTGGCAATTGTGGCGGAAATATTTCTTGGTCTACCTGACCTTGGCTTGATATCAAGAGATCCCCAAATTTTCCACTTGTTAATAATTGATTGAACAGTACTGACTGGCATTTTCAAGGCTTTGGATATATTTTTATATCCTTTTCTATCCTTATAAAGTTCCATTACCTTGTTATGCAGGGTTTTTTTTGGCAGCTCTTTTCTGCTCCCCATGACTCAATATCTAGCTTGCTCAAAGCATCCACGTGAGAGCTAACAAACTCATTAGCTATTAATACACAGATAATAATTGCAATTTAAAAAGCGACAGGTATGGAAATTGAACCTTTAATTGCCTTTTTTTTTATTATTCTTTATTTTGATTGAGCAGGAGATGACAGTTTTACCTGCAATGCCACAGTATAAAGCACGTCACAAACATACATTTTCATGGCATATGAAAAACAATTGCTCAATTTTTTAAGTATAATAAACAAGAATAGTACAGACAGGCTGCATAATCAGGTCGAGTGCTCATGTCTAAACAAGATTTAACATAATAGTCTATGTGAAGACAGCATGAAAGGTTTCATAAGAGTGTGTTATTAATACGATGCATGTTTTAGTATAGATTTAAATTAAGCTGAGTAGCTGTATACTCAGCCAGCATTGGCAATGCAGCTTAGTGCCACTGGAAAAACACCACCAGGAGCAAGGCATAAAAAAGAGAATGCATAAAAGAGATAGCAAAAGCAAGATGTCCCTGCGAGAACAGGAGTAGCTAGTGGTAATCGGGAAGGCTATATTATAGGTCTATCCTATGCCACAAGTAGGCCATGTTACAGAGTCCACAACTAAGTTTGGACTGGTATCACTGTATTGAAAAATAATATAGCAACCTTGGTTGGTATAGATATTCCAGGAGCTGATCCACCTAAAATGGCTTAGGATGTTCTTGTACCTACTATATAAATTAAAATGTATTAAAAATGTGTAAATAAACACCTAAAATGTGGTGGTGTAGAAATTCACTCAAATAAACTCCAATGCTTTCCAAAAGGGGACTGGGAAAAAGTGCAACAGTAATGTGTGGTGAATACGCCTTTAAATCTGCTATAGGCAGAATGAATGGAATAAACACCAAATATTATACTTCACATTTAACAACTAGAGGGAAATTGAGAAACAGTATATAGAACTGTTCTCTCTACTAATGAGAGATTGGATGAAATATGTAGATCAATAAAATGAATCACATAAATTTCTGCGTGCAATATAACCATATATGGTGTCTGTGCCTTTAAGTCTATTAAAAAATAGACAGAATGAAGCATGCACCAAAATAGTATACTTTTTGGAAAGGTATAAACCATAAAATAGGAATACAGTATTGAAGACTGATCCTATATTGCAATAAATTGTAATATTGATTTAAAAATAACCACGTAAAAAGATAAATCTTCAAAATAATATAAAGTCAAATTTATTAATAAAAAATGCTCAAAGAGTAATCAAAAAAAATAATGAATGTATAAACTGATTAAAATACAAAAATATAAGCCAGGAACGTAAAGCAAGAGTATTACCAGCACAATTGTAGTCCTTGTTTGTAGTTTGTATCCGGGACCGGCCAGGATGGTTGTGGATACTTTGTGTCACGAAAGTTTCCTCTAGCTGTCGGCTTGTCAGTGAGGTTAGCGTGCGTCTCAGACCTCACTCTGAGAACTGCACGCTGCAGCCCGATCGGTCCCCAACTTGTGAGAGCTTTCCTCGATACACCCAAGGTCCTACTGCTGGGTTGAAGTCTGCCACCGTATCCTGCTTGAGATCTGACGTGTTTCGTTGGTGTCCACCCCACTTCTTCAGAGATAGAATAGTGTTTGAGCGATGATTTAAATATATGTCTAATTGATTGATCCTAATTGGTATACATGATGACTATTACATATTATACATACAATGATTGAATAAAACAAAATATTTAAGAGGATATATTGCACTTACGGATTTGAAAGAGTAAAAAACGAAAAAATAGAAAAAAAATAGAAAAATGGAAATGAAAATAAGAACAAAGATAAAAAATAAAATAGAAAAATAGATTGTAATTGATTGTACATTCAATTAGTTAATTGATTTAAAAAGACGGTGTAAAAATATAATTAAAAGGCATAATCCGAAGATATGTTACATCAAGGATCTGTAAACAAATTGTTAAAAGTCGATATATATACAGTCCATGTCTAAGATAAGTTAAAATGACAAGATATAAATAAAAGACAGTTGTTATTGTGTCCCATAACATTGTATAATTCTTCTAATATTATTATAAAATGTGCAAAAGAGTGCAGTTTATATACAATAATAATTTATGGATATGATGAATTTATATAGATAGATAGTACTGTAAAATCAGTGTCTTATAATTAGAGGTCTCATTATTTGGTTGTATTCCATACCTGCAAGGAGCATATGAAACAGTAAAAGAATAAAAGAATAAAGGAAGAGGATGATTAAAGGGGAAAAAAGTAATAATAATAATAATAAAGAGGAAGTTAGGAAAAAATACACATAAATATACAATCAGTGATATTTGTGTCTAAATATTAGGATATACTGATATAATGATATAAACTTAATTGGTGCAAACTAGCTAAAAAGCAAGGATGTACTGGGGAACTAACTTACTAGTGATATGTGTGACTAAGTGTATAGTTAATGTATCCCAAATATATACATGGGACAGTAAGATATAGAAATCTATAAGGATTGTTCAAATTGACTAATTAAGTGCAGTATATTGAACCTTAGTTACTAGTGAATAAGTGCAATTGCTCCCAAAGAGATGTTGAATGCATATGTGGGAGCAAAAAGTGAAAAAAAAAATATATAATAATAAAAAATTATTAAAAAATTCTATAAAAAAGCGTACTGTAGCATTCTATAAAAACATTCTATAGCGTTCTATAAAAAGTGTTCTATAAAATGGTATCACTGTATGCCCCCATGCTGTGCTCTGCTTCCAGCTAGGTTTCATGCTTGCCTGTCCTGGATGGTGTGTTGCGCTGAGTTCTGCTTCTATAAAAGACCATGCTTTTAAGTGGTCTTTATCTGCTTCTCTGGGGGTCTTCCTGCTGTATGCAGCAGTTTTGCGGGCCCATGAGAGCGTCTGGTTGAGGTGAACCCATCGTGTGTTCAGGCGTTTGGTAGGTATTGTCTTCTTTTGGATTCCTCTCCCAAGGAAAGGTCGTCGCTCCTTCGCGGTAGTCTAGGGTGCAGACTCCTCGGGCACTGTAACTGCCGGGCTTCTGCTTTGGATTTGCCCCCCAGAACGCCTGCCACAGGTGATCAAAGCAGGCGTCGAAGTGGTCTCTCTAAGTCTGGAGCGATGAGCTTTCCGATCGGGGAGTATGTTGATGTGCGGCGGCCATCTGGGCACGCCATGTGGTGCTCGGACCGCACGGAGATTCAATTGCAGGGAAGTGGTGAGTGCCTCCAGTGGGTACTGCCAGGGTATACAAACTTTTGAGAACATCTGTCTATGTATGTGTATATGTATGTATGTATGTATGTATGTATGTGTGTATATATGTGTATATATATATATATATATATATATATTTGTGGCCAGGGATAATAAGCCAAGTTATAGTAGTGGTGTAAAATGGTTGTGGTGTGCCAAAACCGATGTTCAGGCAGACCTGTAAAAAGAGGGCCCATCAAAATTGAATTATTTGATAAAGGGAGCAGTGGGAGGGCTGAACCAGGCAGTATTGGTCAAGAGGAAGTGGAGGCCTGTGTATTAATAGGCCAGGTAACCAGTCCCACAACTTCAGACTCTGCCTACATGCTCAGCCTTCCTATATATATATATATATATATATATCCCATTTATATTGGTATGTTCTACCAAAGGTTGTCAGCACCTTTCCTGGGACCTCTGTTGCGAAGAATCCTACCTCATAATATCTGTCAATGCTGTCAATGTGAAGAAATACTCCAAAGTTAAAAATGAATCTCGTTATTTTAACCCCTTAAGGACCAAACTTCTGGAATAAAAGGGAATCATGACATGTCACACAAGTCATGTGTCCTTAAGGGGTTAATGTAAGTGTTCCTATTGGTATTTAGATCACTTCCCCTATTTAACACCAAAACACCAAATAATTTACATTTATTCCAGCTCCAGAACAATCTCATCTCTGCAGCTGCTCCTCCTTAGAGTAAAACATTAGTTATGATGACTATTGTCCAATCCAATACTTCTTGCAGACATGCATGGCAATTGCGGAGCTTTCCCAATCAAATTATTCTTATAGATGCTGTGCTCTATATGTCCAAAAGAGTGTCAGTCTATGCACTAAAACCTCTTCATTAAGATAAAGTGGTTTTGGAATTGTCTGTTTAGAATTAAGAAGTCCACCTAACATTAAGAGTTTACTCAGTAGTCAACCTCCCAAGTCTTCCTTGACAAAGTATGGTAGAATTCCGATGGATTCTGGGAGCTAGTCATTTATAATAAGATGGAGACCAAACTAGGGTCCATAGAAATTAGATTATCATCATCAATATGCAGCCAACATATCCCACAGTAATGCCTACTCAGAGAGCAGATTTATAGGATTGCCTCTTTTGGACCATAGCTCTAACACTACAACCAGTTTATTCACCACCTATTCATCACCAAAACAGTTTTTCCTTATCCTTCCTACATTATCTGCATTGAACGTGCTTAATAATAGATCATCATGATTTCATCTTTTTTTCCTGAAACTTTTTTGTTTTCTTTGCCTTGAAGTTAAATCACTATTACTTCCAGAGCCAACATATTAAAAAGCCACAGAACCTATAGTAAAACAGCAGAAGATTGATACCTATGCAACAAAATATGATGCCTGAGGTGGAACTTAAAGGGACTCTCCAGTGCCAGGAAAACAATCTGTTTTCCTGGCACTGCAGGTCCCCTCTCCCTCCCACCACCCATCCACGGTTGCTGAAGGGGTGAAAATCTCTTCAGTGACTTACCTGAGACCCCCGCCGATGTCCCTCGGTGGTGGTTTCAGGTCGCCGTCGCTCCTCCCCTTTATCACGTCAGCCGGCGGGGGAGACTGATCCCGCCTGCCGGCTGAGGAGGCCTAATGCGCATGCGCGACAATGCCGCGCAAGCGCATTAGAGCTCTCCATAGGAAAGCATTAAAAATGCTTATCTATGCTTTCCTATGGGGAATTGAGCGACGCTGGAGGTCCTCACACAGCGTGAGGATGTCCAGTGACGCTCTAGCACAGAAAACCTGTGCTATGAAGCAGGAAGTGCCCTCTAATAGACAGCCACTAGAGGAGGAGTAAACCCTGCAAGGTAATTATTGCAGTTTATGAAAACTGCAATAATTACACTTGCAGGGTTAAGGGTCGTGGGAGTTGGCACCCAGACCACTCCAATGGGCAGAAGTTGTCTGGGTGCTTGGAGTGTCCCTTTAAATGGATGGGACAAATTTTGTTGATGTACCAGGAATAAATCATGCTGCATGATACCAATATATTTAATATCAAGAGAACTGCCATAGGTACATAGCACTTCACAGGCTATAACATGGTAGATGGGAGGTACAGTAAATGCAGTTGTTATGTAGATTATAAGTGGGAGGGGGGAAACATATGCATGCATTTGGATAGGAGAATCTTGCCATGCGGAGTTTACAATCTGAATGGGAATGAGTTGAGTCCTTAATATGAGAGTTAGTAATGATTTTGCTTTTGTTCTTTCCCAAAAGAAAGTTAATATGAGGTGTTACGGATTTATCGAAGTTCTAATTGGTCCCTTTGTTCCTATAAAAGCAGGCAGGAAGGTGCAGCTGCTGTTCAGTCTGATAGAGTTCAATCAGTATGAGTACTTTTACTGTTAGTTTTCTTAAAAGCAGCTGATGTAGGCTTCGTCTATTAGCCCTCTGAAAGGTATTCTGAACTCAAAGAGTAAATTAAAGTCATAGCCATTATCTTTGTTGGAACACAGTTTGTTCTCTTAATTTCTTCGCTCAGGCAGTGTCAGAGATAAAACAATGCCTGTCAATGTGGGGGTAATTATATATCTAAAAAAAATGTTATTTAAATTTGAATGAACAAAAATTGAATAAAACAAACATAAGCACTGTCAGCAATTAATCATTTAAGACGAGAATCTTGCATTTGCAAATTGCAATCTTACAAATATTCTTTTCATAATGGAACTCTCTAGGTATGATAAAATCTATTGCTCCTTTCATAGGTTATTGGGCAGAGATGCCAACTTTCTTTTTGATGTGCAAAGAATTCCATAGTTTTAAGCCCTATCCCTGAGTCAAATACAATAACTGCCTCTTGACAATGCACCTTACTCTTGTACCATGCAGCTATCTTTGGGCCATGCCTGTCCATGTCTCACCACATGTTGCAAAATAAAGATTTCTAGAAACATTCAAAAGAGACAGTCACTGTGAAGACAAGTAGCAGTTATGACTTATCTGCACAGTGTTTGGCTTCCAAGGCTATCAGGAAACTTGGGGGTGGAAGGTAGGGGGTGAAGAGTAGGGGGATAAGGCAAGCAATACCTATTATTGAACTACCTCAATGCTAAAGGACCCCACTAATAGGTGAGTGCCAGATGATCCGGCATGCACCCCTGTATCCAGGGATCAGTTGACACTAACTCCACAGAATCACTGTGGCAGGCTGTCCCAGCAATTCTATTACATTAAACTGCCTTGCTGAACCATTTTAGGAAGTCTCAGTGCTGAGACATCCAATCATCATTGTACATGCCATGACTGCAGTGATTGTGTATATTGTGTCTGATTTGGAGGTCCACGAAATGGCTGCAAGTGATAGACATTTTATCACTGAGACTTTCATGTTACCTACATAGAGCTTAATTAAACATGATTATTATTATTATTATTATTACTACTACTATTATTTTACAGTTATTATCATCCATTCCAGAGAAGATTGTTTATTATTGAGCAATTTTTAAGTTAGACAATTTTCAAGCCATATGTGGACGCAATCAGCTGGTATGTGTTCAACTTAGAGCTCATATAGATCAATTCTAAGTTGAGCTTGCAAATTTTAAGAGGAGAGCGAATATTAGTACCTCAGAGTTTCACAGAATCATTAAAGGTTTTGCATGAATTTTGAAGCAAGATAGGAATTCAGGTAAACAAACCCTAATTATATTAGAAATGCAGAGCTAATTTGCTGTAATATAATTATGCTGTGTATTCCAATCAGTAAATTGTCTTTAAAGAGCTCAAAACTGAACTGACAATAAAAAGCATTAAAGGCAAATTATAAATTCTAAGCGTTAAAATAAAATCTGCAAAATCTGTGCAGTATCTTAACACACTGAAGTGGAAACATTTTTCTTTAACAATCAAATATATTCTCTAGCAGTTTACAAATGTAGATATATTTTTATTTCATTTACAAAAGTCTTGAAATTTAATATGTCCCACTGCTCTTGCGATTGATACTTTTCTGTAGCATACAATAATAAACATAGAAAGCCTATCCCCTAATTGTGGTTTTCTTCAGGTATCTGCAGGGATTTTGCTGGAAATCATGGAACGCAGAAGCAGTTAAGTGCTTTTGCCACTAAGGATTTTGAGTACATATTCCCCATGGAGAGGACTGTAGTGGTAATATCCACTGTACAGATACAGCAATGAATTCTAGGTGTGTTTAATATTTTAGATAACCTTTCTAATCTTGCACCTTAAATTAGTAGTCCCCAGGCTATCGCTGTGATCTTTACATTGCGATTTTTTTTTTTGTTTCTGATTACACGATGTGTTTCAGCATTAATAATTTTACTTTTAACTTGCTCGGTGATGAAATTGCCTCCATTTGTAGAATTTCTTGGCTGGAAATTGAATTCTTAAAGAACCACTAAAGTTTTTATATATGTTTCTTTTTAACTTTTACTTTTACTTTTTGAAGCCAAGGCTGAAACAGGATGCACGCAGAGTAAGTGTGAGATGATATGAAGTTTTTTTTTTAAATATATCCAAATTTATTCAAAGCAGGGGGTTTCCATACTTAAACAGGAAGCACGCATGCCATCAAAGTGACCACATTTTAATAACTGTGATGTGCCAAGTTTATAAGGAATTGATAAAGGGACTTTAATTAGACACCTGTACCAATTTCATATGAAATGAAACATTCACTGCTGATTGGCTAAGCAACGTTATTACTTTTATCACTTACCTTGAGGCTTATCAGCAGTTAAGCAGCAGTGAGATCCAGTTATGGTAAAAATCGACACGTATCAGCACCGCTACATGTCTGTTTTACTGTGGCCAGGTGAAAAAAGTATTTTTAAGTTTTGCCTCTATTAAAAAAGTTGAAAAGTTAATGTATAAATGTAATGTCCATTTTATACATTTCAATTTATCACAGCTATATTATAGAACATTCTTTGCTGATTGAAGTAAAGTACAGCTTCATGACT